TTCAATCCCCAGTACTGGGGAGTGGGGGAGAGAAGGAGGAGGGGGAAAAAGGAAAGAAAGAAAAAGATGAAATTAAATAAAGTACCAATCCATCTGAAAGACATTAACCATTTTAATTGTATAAACATGAGAGTTGGGAAAAAAAACAGAAGCAATCATCACTAATATAGCTAGGAGAGAGATAAACCCACAATAAAAAATAAGCTATTTAAAACACTCAGTGTTCAAAGGTACTAGGGTAGAAATCAGTATGAATGTAGAACTGAAAAATTACAATAATCAGAAATATATATAAATTTGAAAATAAAGTTTTAAGGGCATGGGATCAAATAAGAAAACTCAAAGGAAATGTTAATTATGTGTTTGTATTAAATACGGTTACAGGTAAGTCTGAATTAAAGAAACAATAAACATATTGCTGTTGGCTGCAACCAAAGCTGTTCTGAGAGGATAATTTTAGTAGGAAAATGCTTAGGCTAGAAAAGAGGAAAGATCAACAAGAGGCCTTTTCCTTCAAAAAAACTAGAAAAAGACCAAAGTTCACTCCAAACTACTGGGATGTAGAAAATAATAAACACAGTTCTAAATAAGAAAACAATATAGAAAAATCAAAGAAGAGATAGCTGGTTCTTTGATCAATTCAATTAAAAAGAAAGAAAACACGAACAATCAATTCAAGAAAGAGCAGGCCTATAGCTTCTGCTAAGAATAATAAAGACATGTAATGAACAAGTTTATATATATGAATACACCAAGATAAGAGAGACCATTCCCCAAAGGTCACAAAACACTAAAGCAACACAGATTAAACATAAATATTTTTACAACCATTAAATAAATTGAATTGGCAACTTAAATGTACCCATTTCATATAGAACAATGACTTCACCAAACATGTTAAAAGTTCACATATTGGATACAACATTTTCCAGAATATAGAAAAGAAGGTAATACATGCCTATGCACTTTTTAAGGCCAGTATTCTTCGATACAAAAATTAGATAAAGCTAGTACAAAAAGTAATCCACAGATCAATGTCTCTGATGGTCTTTGATAACAACCATCTTCAAGAAATTATCAAAATCATCATCATCATCATCATCATCATCATCATCATCATCATCATCTCAATCATGAGAAAAGGAATTTTACATACCAGGCCTAAGATGCTGCTTCTCTAGGTATGTGAGACTGTTTCAAGATTTGAAAATCCATTAGTGCAATCTACCTTGTTAGGAAAACAAAGAAAAAATTCAGAGGACCCTACCAATTGATACAGAAGAATCGTTTGATATAATTAAAAACTCCTTCATCCACTAATGGCAAAGAAAAACACAATTAGCAATTGGAAAAAGAGAGCTTTCTCAACTTGATAAAAGAGTCTAAGCAGGGGCTGGGGATGTGGCTCAAGCGTAGCGCGCTCGTCTGGCATGCGTGCGGCCTGGGTTCGATCCTCAGCACCACATACAAACAACCATGTTGTGTCCGCCAATAACTAAAAAATAAATGTTAAAAAATTCTCTCTCTCTCTATCACTCTCTCTTTAAAAAAAAAATTATGAGAGTCTAAGCAAACCTACAGGCAACATTCTCCCCAGTGGTGAAAGACTGAACACTTTTCCTAAGATGGGGAATACATGGAGCAAGTCTACCTTCATTACTGCTAGCACATTAGTGCAGATCGTAGCAAGTACAATGAGTCAAAGGAAATAAATTTTTTAAAGTGGACAGATTGAAAAAGAGAAAAGGAAACCATTCCTGTTTGTAAAATAAGTGTCTGTTAAAAAATTTCAAGGAATCTGAAAAAAAACTTTTAGAACTAATATGGAAATTTATCAAGCTGGTAGCATGTAAGTTAAACACAAGTGAGTTGATCTCCAGAGGATAAAAACAAGCAAATGGAAGATGATTTTTAGACACAGTAGTAGCATTTGCTCCAAAGGAAATGAAACATTTATTTGTAAACCTTAAAATATAAGCTGAAAAAGGTCAATTATAAAATTCGAATAAAAGACAAAAAAAAAACAGAGATGGACAGACTGTGTTTTGGGGGAGGGAAAAGTAAAGATGTTGATTCTTCTCAAATTGACCTACAGATCTAACAATTTATAGCTCAATCCTAGCAAGTAGAGTTATTTTTTCTACATATGGAGTAGATTTGTCTAACATTTATGTTAAAAAGACAAATCTTGAAATAGAACATAGTAGAAACCTTGAGAAAGAAGAATACAGTAGGATCACTATAGTCTATATAAATATTTAATGAGCAAGCAGAGTAAAGAAAGTGACATTATAGAACTGGACACACACCTAGAATCAGATAGAATAAACAGCACAGAAATATACCCACACCAATGTGCCCAACTGATTTTTGACAAAAGTGCCACAATACTTTCTTTTAATGTTAAAAGGCTGCCTTTTCTATCAAAGTTATTGGATAGTTACATAACCAGTCAAGAAGGAACCTTGACACAAACCCTGCACACCTTAATCAAAATTGTCTCAGACACAGAATTAAACAGCATGCATAGAACCATAAAACTTTTAGAAAAAAAAAGTTGTCATGAAATAGTCTTACTTTCTAATCAGTACCTCACAGGCTGAGAGAAGATACTTCCGAAAAAAAAAAAAATCTGACAAAATGTGGATTTAAAATATATGAATATAATAGCATAATAGTTTTAGAAGGCAATCCAGTTAATGAAAGAAAAACAAATAGACCTATCTCAAAAAGTGACACGTGCACATGAGAATATATCCATCACTCAATAGCCATTAAGAAACACAAATCAAAACCACACGAGATACTGCTAAATGAGAGAAGCTAATATTTGTCTGTGTGTGTGTGCATAATTAAAATACCAAATGTTGATAATTATGAAGATCTCTATCCCTCATACTTTGGTGGTAAGCATATAAAAATTCTATAGACACTCTGGAAAATAATTTGGTATTTTCTTTAAAAAAAAAATCACCAAAACACACATTTATTTACCACTGGATCTGGTAATCACATCCTTAACCACATATCCCAGAGAAATAAAATTTTACATCCACACAGCTATTTGCACATGAATATTCTTGGAAGCATTATTTTTAATACCATAGCTGCAACAGCCAAGTCACCTCTCAATAGGTAATATCCTGTCTTCCTCAGAACATGGGGAATACACTAAAGTGAGATTAACTAAATCTGGTGTTTAAAAATTCAAATTTTAAATAAATGTCAACTGAGATTGTTTACTTTTTCCTGTCTAAATTTTGATATAGAGAGTTCTTACTTGGGATTATTCTCACTAATACTTTCAAGGGATTCAAGTTTGGTCTTGTAGAATTTTTTCCTATTCTTTTCTATGTTTCTGTCTCATTAATTTCTGTCTTTATCTGAATGGTTTCCATTCTATATTATGTGTAACCTCTCTATATACAGTATTGCATTTTGTACAGAAGGCAATTAATTTAATGGTAACTCAAATTAACCTTCTTACTGCTGGGTTTTGACTTTGGGTTAGAGGGTTGAGCGTGATAAGGTGGACCTTCCTCTAGACTTTAGTATTTTTTCTTAGTAAAATCTTTTCTTATCTTAGATGAATGCCTGAGGACTTAGCATGATGATTCCACCAGACCTCAGCTGATACCCAATATATCCCAATAGTGTCTGATATTTATATCCCTATTTCACTCACAACAATTCAGCACATAGGTGTAACCAAATTCACAGTCAAGCAAGGAAGCACCACCCAAGGACATAAAAAAATTAACAAAAAGGAAGACCTCTTCAAAAAAACTATAAGTAGGTATACTCTAAGACCCAGTGATTCCCAACTCTGGGTATATAGCCTAAGAAATGGAGTCAATATTACAAAAGGCTCCTATATGCCCATTTTATTGCAATACTATTGATAATAGCTATGATATGGAATCAGCCTAACTCCCCTTACAAAAGAAAAATGGAAAAGAAAATGCAATTTGTATAAATGGTGGAATATTCAGATGTCAACAAAAGTAAAATTCTGACTTTTATCAACAAAACAGATGCAAGTGCCATCAGTTCAAACTGTCATCACTGGACCTTACCTGTAAGCAGTTTTTAATAAAACATACATCTTGCATGCCCTCTCTGGGTGCTTTCTTTGGTCTCTTGGCAACCCATTCCACTACCCTAGCAAAGTGGGCTGCAGACAGTACACCCCCACATCTCTGACAATGTGCCATGCAAGTTTCAACTGCTTCAGTGTCTCTGAACTCAGAACTCGAGTTCTGCTTCTTTCCAACCCCTGTGCTGTAGTCCAGATAGTATCCCCAGTCAGAAAGCCAAATTGAATCCCAATCAGCCTATTGTAACATCTCTTTCATTTTGTTCTGCTTACTAATTGCATAACGTAGGGTGAACCAAACAGACTATAGTTACTAAATTTTTAATTACATTATCTCTCAGTTCTGATATAGCAAAAGAATCTGACCCATCACTATCACTTGCCTCTTACCAATCTGTTCAACCAAAATAAATATCTTACACACTTATTTTCTCACATACTTCCAAAACCTTCTAGCTCCCGAAAGCCTTTTGGAAACCATTCATGTTCCAATGATTCACATGTGAACCTACTTAAGATTCTGTGCGTGTTTTTGCATCCATTCTTTTTTCTCTCTCTAAAAAGATACAGTCTTGTGCTCTATCACGGACAATTTCTCAGTATGTCTGAGCCCCTTAGCCCACTTTTACTTCCCCACCTCAAACTTCTCATATACCTAGATCTCTCCTTTTTTTTCTTCTTCTTGTTTTATTTATTGATTGATTGATAGATGATTTGTGATTTCCAGTAAAGTAAAAGTATCTGTTTTATTCAGTATGATTTCCAAGAAATTTGCCATATTTGCCTGGGGGAGGAGGTGTTTGTTATTTGTTTCCCCAACAACATTATAGAGTATAAAGCATCCATTTTCTTGCCAACACTAGCACCTTAACCAAATTAAAACAGAGAAAATATCAAAACTTACCTTAACAAATAAAGAATCTTCTTGTAATGATCCCCACTTGCTATATGAAAACACTGGGAAATTTGGGGCTAAATATGACCTATTTCAAACAAACATTGAAATTTCATTGTATTAATGTCATTAATAATAACTTCTAGAACAGTGAAATGAATCAAGATTTACTTTCAATGTTTTAAGTCCAAATATCTAAACTAAAATAGACTCACCTGTCTTAATAGTGTATTATCTACATAAGAAAAATTACAAAACAAAAGTAACTACTATGACCAGAACTAGTATGGAGCTGTGATGAATTCAGAATGATAAACTGTTCAATGCAAACTTACATGCAATAATAGGAATTTCAGATTTCAAGAGACTTTTATTTAAGATCCATCTTCAATAGATACCATAGGATGAATATCTTAATATTTGCTAACACTTAAAAATGGGTTAATCTCCTATTTTTTCATTAAATAGTTTTCATGAAATTATACTATAATTAAAACAACCTTCAATTCCTCAGTGCCCTAAAAAGAACAATGAGTGTTCATGAGTCTCCTGGAGTCTCATCTTCATTCTGGAATCTAGGAAAGGCATGCCTTACCCTTAAACATGCCTTTTTGTAGCAAAAAAGCAAAAGAAGCTGTGTAAGCATATGTGAGTCCTAAAGCTTAGTTCACAGGGGATACTGGTATTTTGCTCAAATTTCACAAGCTAAACAATTTTTGTGGATGCACTTGACAAAAAGTGGTGAGAGGTATTATTTTCCCATGGGAAATGAAGATTAAGCAGCAAGCTATCAGGATTACAGGTACCAAAACACATTTCAAGGCCAGACTAGAATAGATGCTGGGGCACACACAGACTTCTTTCTTTCCCACTTCTCTCATTCCTGACAAATTTTTCTTCTCAATTTAGAACCAAAACTGTAATTTTCCCAATGCAGAAAAAAATTGTTATTTATCAGTTCATTCAAGGAAACTGAATAAATGTACAGATTGAAGGAAAATATCTAAATTTAGGTGCAAGATCCTGGATAATAAATAATGGCATGAAAGCAGAGTCACATTTTTGTATCTGTAAAGCATGCAAATGAAGGTAGTGGAAATAGGATACAGAAGTCATATTCAGGGGAAAAATTATATGTTAAAAGAAATCTAACATAACACTTCAGTTTTCAAGTTTATTCACCTTAGGCCCTCAGAAGTATATTTTTTTACTCCTACATGAAACTACAAAGGAGTCTGGCTTAAATAGCAAAGGGGTAATTGATCACTAAAAAAAAAAATATTCCATGTAAGGAAAATAAATAAGAAATTTAAAGCTACTTTCTATTGAAGTATCACTGATTTAAGAGTAAAATTAGAATTTGAAGGAAAGTTAATTGATTTCAAAGGAGATCATTTCAAGAAAAATAAAATGGGCATTCTAAAACTGAAACATATCACACTGGCCAAGAACTGAATTGGTAAAGCATAAATACTTCAAAATTCACACATATGCATACACACACAAATATAAACAACAACAAAACATGTACTGAAAAATTCACTTAAGATGAACTTTTCGAACAAAAAAATGTATGAATGAATATGATTCATGAGGTATTGTTCAATGAAAACAAAAGGAAAATTTGCAGAAACACACCAATTCAGAAAGCATTCTATGCATTAATTTCAACTGAAGAAAATAATCTGCAAGTTTTCTGACTAACCAATATCTGGGTCTGCATAAAAATTGCAATATCAAGAAAAATAAGAAGATAGTGATAATCAATAAAAACAGCACTATATTTTCATCTGAAGTGTATAAACACTTTTAGTATCACTGAAGGATCATTATGATACAAATTCAAGATGTAAGAAACATAAGTGGGAAATTCCAAAATCAACCAGACAAAATATGAATAGAACTATTGAAATGAAAATTAAATTTTTATAGCAGTAAATCCTACAAAGAAGGCAATAGAGAGACTGGGCAACATAACTGCAACATCTAGAACAAATCAAAGGGTTAATATACACAGAAAATATAATTTCTCCCAAGCTGATTTAAAAAAAACTAAAAAGAAAAATAAATTATATATTAAAAATAAATATTTCAAATCCAAGGGAATAAAAATAAAGCCACAAAAAAAGCTAAATCTAGGGGAAGGGTTCAATTAGAATGGTGGACAAATATTTGAAAACATATGGCATGCTCTTAATAAGTAGGGAAATATATATTGAACTGTTTTACTATGAAGTGGAATTCTTCATGTATTAATTGGCAATAATAAAAGAGTAAAATTGTGCATTTAATTGAGGATATAGATAATAGAGATAGCTTTGAATTGTTAGTGGCAGTCAGTATGCACTTCTTCAACTAAAATATTTGCAGTGTATGCCACACATGAATGTTTTCTCATTTATGACCTAACAATTTCACAGGTGCCTCCTAGGAAGTCAAGAACAAGAACAATGACATCCACAGACAACTTTTCTTGGTATTGTTGTTAATCAATTGAGTGAAATTAATGGACATCCTTACAAATATTGGTGGATAAATAATAAGTAAGACATATTGATTTGATGTCTACATATGCACTGAATATAAATGAACTCATTTTGTATATATACATCAATATGAACCAATCCTAAATAATGATCTTACATAAAATGCTACATACCAAACTACCAGAAAACTACAATATGCACACAAAAAAATAAGCAAATACTTGTCACTTTCTGGGTAATGTGAGGGTAGATTCAGTACTTTTACTAACCTCAACCAGATTTGGTGTAGGATTCAAGTGAATTTTGGCTGACCTTGAATGAGACTTATAAGGTATTTTGGCTGCAATCCATGTGACACTACTTCCAGGAAGTTAGTTCAAGTATATTTTCATGGCAATGGTAGACAAACTTGATGGGAAGCAGAAAATCATAAAGGCTGTTTTCAACCCTCTGTTTGTATCAGCTAACACTCTGAACAAATTAAGTAACATAGCCACAAATGAGCTAGTTAATTTTGGGGGCCAACACTAAATTGAAAATGCAAGATCCCTTACTGAAAATGACTAAGACTCTCAATAGAGCAATAACAGAGCATTCAAGTAGGTGGCTGTAGATTGCATTTGCAATGTCCTCCAAGGCCCATGGGTTAAATGACAGGTCGCCAGGCTATGAGCACTATTGGAAGGTGGTAGAACTTTTAAAAGAGTTGTGGTTATTGTAGGAGGCTTTGGGTCATTGGGTACATGGGAACTTTGGTCTCCTCCTCATTCTCTCTTATTTGTTTCTCAGCTATCAGGTAAATAGCTTGCTTTATGATGTGCTCCCTGACACGATATGCTATCTTGAGAAAAGATATTTTGGCACATCATGCATTATTTTGGACAATTAAACTGGTACTGACTTTTCAGAAAATAATTGGTCATAATTATATAAAATATTATAATTATATAAAAATATTTCTAGAACTATTAGTGCATTATAACATGTGAGTAATACACAATGCCTGCCCTTAGAGATTATTGTGAAAATTAAATAAGTATATGTAAATTGTTAATTTAATCTGTTTGGCAAGCAGTATGTGCTTAATAAATGTCAGCCACTTTTGTCATTGTTGCTATTTATTATTGTCATTTTATTGGTACTTCTTGATCTGGCATCCCATTTCTTGATGTCAAACCTATAAAGCAAAAAATGTATATAAGAATTTATATATAAGGATGCTCACTGTAGGATTCCAGAGATACATTCCCTGAAAATAATATTATCCATGATTCTACATAATGTGGAATGTTATCTATTAAAGAATGTCATGCAGAGAATAACAAGATATACATTGCACATTATTAATAAAATCTACCAGTTTCAAATTAATGTAAATGTTTGTAGAAAAACAAACTTTTCTGCCCATTTCTATGTGTTGTTTTAAAGATAGAATTTAGAATAGGAAATTATTGAAGGTTATGTATAAAGTTAACGCCATTGGTTTTCTAATAGAATAAAAGGAGAAAAGAGAATTTAAGAGATAAAAAAAGATTAATTGTAGCAAAATGAGAAAACCATTATTGTGAGGTGCAACAAAATGTGAAAGAACTTAAAAAGAGTAAACTTCAGTTCACAGCAATTCATGAATGGAAAGCATAAAATCAGAGAAGAGTTGAAGGGCAAGTATCTATATTGTAACTTTGGAAGTAAAAACAAAGGAAATATGTGATTGGCTACCGTTATAAAATTTTCTTTTAGTTCCCTTGTGGGAAGGTCCCTAATCATATAATTATGCCTTACTTGAGCACTTTAGATTCACTGGGCTTAAGTTTTATTTTGCCAACACTGGTATTTACAAAGAATGACCCACTTTAAGTTGTAATTATGTGTACAACTTATGGCTATTTTCATGGCCTATCTAATTTCTTTCTTTTTCTTTTTTTTTTTTTTTTTTGGTTGAGAAACTTCTCAGGCCTGATCTCCATTTTAATTTTTATTTTGACAAGTGTAATGTGAATTAAGATGCTTAAAAAATATAAATATGTAAAATGATCTCTACAGGTAAAAAAAATTAAACAGACATAAAAAGGCCTTTGATTATTGCACTTCTGCTTACATTTTAAGGAGTAAAATAGAATAATTCTCATTCATCAAACATGCATTAATATTTCTATCATTAAATTAGAATTTGGCTAGATTATTAAATCACAATTAATGTTTGAAATTCAAGCCTAACATTAACTCCAAAGCAGATACAATGTGTTAAAGAAATGAAGTATTTATGCTTTTATTTAAGCTCAATTTAGGGTGTTGATATAAAAACAACTGTCTGAAAAGAAAAATGGACACTTACTGTTTTTTAAGAGAGAGAATGTATGTTTTCTCCTCAATAGTGATACTATAGGTCACCTGCAGCAAAATATTAAAAGAGAAAACAGTCGTTAGAAATTTTAGATCCTTAAAAGTAAAAAGCTAAGATTTTTTTATATGTATATACTCTTTCATACACATGAATTATATGCTACACACCTCAAAATTGAAGTTTATGACAGAATTATTCATAACTAAATTTAAATTCAATCAAGGAGTATAAATCTATTTCAGATATAAGTGCATTAGCCATTACCCCATATTGGATTTTAAATTAAGTTTATGTTTAGAAATGCTTAATACTCATTAAAGAAAATTTAACTTTTGCCATATTTCCACTTTGCAGCTTCCAGCACAAAAAGTTGACAATTTCATAAGAAAATTAAAACTTCACCATATGATTGAAGGCGTTAGGCACAAAAAACACTGCTTATCTCCTGTCCTATGAGAATTGCTTCAGCTAAAGAGATAGCTTTGCAATCTAGATTATTTGATTATATGCAAAACTTTGCACTTTTATTTACACACACAACACACACACACACACACACGCGCCCCTCACAATAAGTTACAACTGTCTGGGACAACCATCATTTAATCAGAGGTCTCTCCACGGAATGGGGCTTTTTTGTTGAGTAGCTCTTAGGCAACACACCTGGATTTCTTTTTTATTAATGCAGACACACTATATCTTTTGACTGAAGAGTTTATTTCATTTACATTTAAACTAATATTAATAGGTAAAGACCTACTATTTCCATTTTGTTCATTTTGGCAGATGTTTTCCCCTTTTGCTATCATCCATTTGATGATATGCTCTAATGGTATGCTTCAACTCCATTCTCTTACTTTACGTATTTACTATAGATAAGGATGAAGCATGCATATATTATAGTTTGGGCTTATTGTTGCTCTCATTGCTTGGATTCATTTAAACCACATTGAGTTGAGCCTGTTGCTCTTTCCTTCTGTGGTCATCTACTGTGTGTATTTGTTGTGCAGATCCATGTAAATACTTATGTCATTTTCTAGAATGCTCATTCTGGTTTTATTTTCTCTTTCTGAACATATTTATTGATTTTTGAAAACATATCAGTGTACTGAGTTAATATGATCATCTTTTTCTGGTATGACGTTATCCTTCCCTCCAGGGAGAGATAACCTACTTGCTCATAATGTTTTGCAACTGTTTGCTATTTTCAATGTTTTCATATTTTTGTAAATGATAGAACCTATGAATCTATAATTCGTATTTCTTGAACTTCATTTGTTCTCTACATCTATACTATATAAATACATTTTAAGAATTGAGATTAGTGAATTCTGCAATTAGCACAATTCTGTAAACAAGATATATATTGTATTTTCTGAAGTATTTTCTAAAGCCTTTAAACAGTTTGGCTGGAAGACTTATGGGAACAATTTATTGCAATATTAAATTTCTTACAGAATCAAAAGAAACTTATTTAAAACTTATTTAAAACAAATGCCAAGATTTATGGCAAACTATGATGATAATTGCAGAAAAAATTTGATAGCACTTAAATACTGATTTCCAATGTTCTACAAATTGGTAAAAGTCAATATAGTTATGAGTATCATGATTCAGCTATATTCCTACTAATTGTCTATGTAACAATTTTTTATCATGCACCAAAACAGGGGCAAAATCACTAAATTTATTTATATATTTGCATACATTTTTACTTTTGTACTTTGGTTCATTTAATTTTTCAAATTTTTACTGGACACATATTACACATATTTATGAGGTGAGCTGGGTCCTGTTAAAATATATGTGTGTACAATATGAAATGATAAGATCAGGGAAGCTGGTATACATACCATCTTAAACATCTCTCATTTCTCTGTGTCAGAAATGTTCAAAGTCCTCTGAACTACCTATTTTAAAATATAGTATTAATTGTTGTCAACCATAATTCTGCTGCTGTGCTATAGAACATTGCAAGTTATTTTTCCTATGCAGATACACTTATGTGCCTGTTAAGCATCCTTTCTCCATACCTTCTCCCTAATGTATCTATGAAAACAACTACTTAGCTTCCCCCTATAAGTGATTGTGGTGTGTTATTTTCTGAGTTTGAATTATTTCAATTTCATAATGCCCTTAACATGATGCATGTTGCCAGAAATGACAAGAATTCATTCCTTCTTACGAGTGTATTATAATCTATTCTATATGTATATCACATTCCCTTTTCCATTCGTCTGTTGATGAATACCTAGGTTCATTACACATCTTGGCAATGGTAAATAATTCTGCAGCAAACATGGCAGTACATATGCCCCTCAAACATACTGATTTTCTTTACTTTGGACACAAATCCAGAAATGCTAGATCATATAATAGCTCTATTTTTCATTTTTTAGAAACTGCTTATAATGGTTAATTTGAATTGTCACCTTAATTGGATTAAGAGAAGCCAATGATTAAGAGGCTTATGGATGTGTTAATGAGAGTGTGTCTGTGAATGACTGGCATGTGGGATAGCCAAGTGAAATGGAGAACCCTCTCCTAAGTGCAGGTAGCACCAACCAATAGGATGATGGGTCAGCTGGGATAAAAGTTGGAACAACAAGGAAACAATAGCAGAAGCAAGCTCCATTCTTGAATGACTTCTTGATTGCTGCTGCATGGTCTGAGGATATTGGACTCTCACTTCTTCACTCTTCCAAAGCAAACTCTGCCAGTGATTCTCCAGAAGCCTTTGGTCTGGGACAAGGGTGGCACCATTGATCCGTCTTGTTCAGCCTCGTGGACTGCACATCTACTAGTTCTTCTAGCTCTCCAGCCTGCAGATGGCCACTGTGGGCTATCCTGCTTCTGGTAGCATAAGCCAACCTAATAAATCCCCTTTTTATAATTATACTTCTTGTTGATTTTGTTCATCTAGAGAACTCTACTACATTGCTGTACTCTTTTCCATAATGGCTGAACTAAACTATATTCCCACTCACAGTATATGAATTTCTCCTTCTCAAAGCCTCACCAGAATTTGTCATTTTATTGTATTGAAAATGGTTACCTAATTTGGGAGAAGCGAAACACCATTATGGTTCACATATGCATTTCCCAATGATTAGTGATGTTGGACAGGTTTCTTACATACTTGGTTATTTGTATATCTTCTTTGGAGAACTTGTTTAGATCATTTGTCTATTGTTCAATCTAATTATTTGGTTTTTCTGCCAAGTAGTTTGCATTCCTTATACATTCTGGATATTAACCCTTATCAGAATAGTTTGCATATGTTTTCTCCCATTCATTAGGTTGTCTCTTTTAACTCTTAATTTTTTCTTTTACTCTACAGAAGCTTTCAAGTTGGATGTAACTCTGTCAGTTTTTACTTTTTTATCTTTGCTTTTCAGATCATATCCAAAATATCTTTTCCCAAATCAATGACCCAAACATTTGCCTGTTCATTTTCTTTGGTAGAATTATACTTCATTTTTGTTGAAATGACCTTATTACATGCGAATAGTTTTCAAATTACAATGCTTTCAGTCAATTAAGATATTTATTGAAAATTACATAATCTATCTGGGCACTATCATTGTCCTGTAATCTATTTTCTCTGATATTAACTTACCCACTCTTGTTTCCTTGTTTTGGGGGAATCCATAATCTATAATTTGTATTTTCAGTATTTCAAATTTCAACCTATTCATAACATATTTAAAAGACAATTTTTATAAGTAGTTTTATTTTTCCATAAAATATAATAACCTTTATTTGCAAAGGTTACATTGTACTTAATGAAATGTATTATATTTATAACACATTTATTATATTTATAATACATTATTATATCATAAGCCTACTTTCTCACTGCTTTTTTCATTTTTTGCATATCATATCTTTTCCACATCTTTTTTTCTAATTTATCTTGTAATTTTATATTGAGATTGGGTTTATCAATACGAACTTTAAAGTTTCATATAAACACACATATCCATTTAACACATTTGTGTTATCAAAATTTGGGTGTGTTTGTGTGTGTACACACGTTTTTCTGGCTTGGGCATAGAGTGATAGTAGAAGCACTGACACCCAGTAGGAATTATCAGCATTCTCTGCATACACAGAGTAGATTCCAAACACCATTCTCCATTTCCCAGTAATAGGAAACATACTTTGTAACTGACACATGACTAAAGTCCAGTTAATGAAGTAAACTGGAATAATGAAAAAAGAAAACCTGGGAAGAATCAAAACCACAAAATAAACAAAGGGCATATATAGATTAAAAGGGCATATATAGATTTAAGTCAAAGTATTTCAAAAATTTGACTTTGTAATTAAAGATCTCACAATGTAAGCTCCAGGTCTAGAAGGTCTAAGGAGTAAATTGCAATGAACATTAAAAATATTGTGAAAAAAATGTTAATCTTAGAAAACGTCTGGGAATACAGAAAGAGCATTTTGCAACAAATTTTTGGAGGCAGTACAAACCAAATATCACAACCAGACAACTATATGATACAGAAGTAAAATATTTATTATGATTATAATTCCAAAGTCTTAAATAAAATATTAGCAAATTAAATCCAACAAATATAAAATTTATCATGATAAATGGAAGTTAATTATTATAATGGAAAAAATGACTCACTACATCAAAGACACACACAGAGCATAATGTCTGAAAATAAAACCTTCCTTGAATTAATAAATGTCATTTATTAAAACTACAGACTTTATCACTTTTATTCTTGACATTGAAATTCTCCCTACAACTAAAGAAAATCAAAGCACAAAATAAAGAAAGAAAAAAACATGGATGAAATTGATGAACTATTAACCCATATTTAATGTTATTTGGGAGCTTCTCATTATTACTTATGAAAAAAAAAAGGAAAAAAGGAAAAAAACTCCTAAGGATAGAAAAAAAGGGAAAAAATGAAGCTCTTTTGTAAATAATATGTATGTACATAAAAAGTCAAAAGAAACAGAAACCTACTACTATTATTAACTATTTAAAATTCTTATTTGCAGTATTGATATATACAGTTACATACACAAATATATGGTTTATTTCTATACATTATAAAATAAACTTTAAAAATACCATTTTACATAGTGTGAGTGAACCTTAAAAATATGCAGACTTGGGCTGGGATTGTGGCTCAGTGGTAGAGCGCTTGCCTAGCATGTGTGAGGTGCTGGGTTTGATTCTCAGCACCACATATAAATAAATGAATAAAATAAAGGTTCATCAACATCTAAAAAAATTTTAAAGCATATATGCAGTCTATTTATAATTGAAAATACAAAACATGACGGAGAACAATCAAATTAGACAAATACATACAAAAAATCACATTCATAAATTAACTTGATATTATTGAAATTTCATTTCACTCAAAAATTGACTTATAGATTGAATATTATCTATTACAAAATCCCAGAAAGCTGTTTGTAAAATTGGGCAAGACAATGTACAAGATTTACATATTAATAAATGAAACAGGCAAAATAATTAAGAAAAGCAAAAGCAGAAAAATACCAAATGTCAGAGAATTATGATGAAATGATGATAATTAAGGTAGTGTGCCATTTGTGTAAGAGTAACTATATTATTTGGAAAGAAGTGAAATACATATCCTAAAAATATTTACCTGTGTACTCATTGATCCTATGCAGATGACTACCAAAGCCTTATGAAACGATGTACATGTCAAAAGTTTTGTAAAATATGTGATACTACAACCATATAAAGACTCAGATGATCATTATAAATGTGTATGTCCATGTGTAAATACTCACATACTTTAAATTTACTATCTTTAAAACCAAAGTGAATATTCACTGTATTCACAATTGTTTGTGCTGTCTAGATTTAACTTTGCAATGTACATCCTTTTTAAATGACATAATGTCCTTTTTCTGAAGGTTTTATATATACATATGGATGCCTATATAGCCATGAAGTTTTCTGGCTTTTATTTTTTTATTTCATTTTTTAAATTTTTTTGTATTCCAGTTTAAAATTGGTACAAGGTCAATGTTAGCATGATCTCATGTAAGACCATACATTTAAATGTATATATTTTGTAAGAGTCCTGTAAATGGTATTCCAAAAATTTGTATTCCAAAAATTTGGGGCACTGTTTTGTATTGTTTTGTTCTTCAGTTTTTGTTTTAAAATAATTACATATAATTCCTACATTACCTAAAAAAAAAATTTTAAAAAAATGAAACATTGTTCTCAAACTAAAACACTCCTTAGCATGGTAAATTAGAACACAAACAGAATTTCACAAAGGAATGTACATAAATTGATCTGGGCCATAGTACAGTAAAAATAAAGCATGGATAAATTTTATAAAACTGATTTCTTAATTACGTGTGTTTCTGTAACATCCTTACGGTTGGTGTTTTTGTCAAACTTCTCCGGCACTGTAATTTGCAGAAGTGATGATTTAGAGCCTGCAGCAAGAAAAAGCACAGGTCAATGTTCCCCAGTGGGGAGTAGAATCTTCAGTCTTCACTTGTCTGCCTTCCCTTCATCAACTTTTAAACTCCCAAGCCCCAGCATTTGCCCATACTCCAAGCTCCAAAACTACACCTTGCTGATCCCAGGTAGAAGGTCCTGTGAGAGCAAGAGATTTGCTACCACTATCCAGAGACACTGTGGGGCCTGTTGACCTCAACCCTGAACCTAAGACCCCATCCCAGGGTCCTGACCCCATGCAGACTCTCTCTTTCCCGCACCTCCACAGGAGATGCACCTCTTCTTATACAGGTCACACAAATGAGGGACAAGTATCCCGGGTTTGCACGGAGCCTTCTCACCACCAGGGCTCAGGGACCCTCAAAGGTTTGGCTCTGCTGCATCCTTCACCAGTCTGTCTGAGCTTTCTGGAGCGAGGAGGCTGAAGCTCATCTTGCTAAAGGTCTCTGCTAAAGGCTGCCCTCGGATCCAGTTGGGCCCTTTTACTTACTCTGGCCGCCAGAGGTCGGCCACGCCAGGCCTGAGAGGATTATCAGGAGAGACAGCATTGTGTGGTTAACCGGCCTGGCCACAGTGATGGCGGTTGTAATGCAACGCCTGGGTCTCGTGGCCACCAACTGCTGGGATCTTGCAGGGCGGGGTCAAAGGAATTCCCCGGGAGCCAGACAGTAGTAAAGATTGGAGGGCGTGGCTGGTTTGTCCAGTCCTGAGCCAGCCCTGTGGATGGCAGAACCCAGCCTTCTACAGCCCCAGAGGTGCCTATTCGCATCTCCCCTGTACTTGCTAAAGCACACTGAGGCCTGCACTTCTGTGCACTGGTGCCTTTTCCCAAAAGCTTGACACTTCCATTGTATTGCGGTGTAATGTAAGGGTTTTATAAAGCACATTTTCTCCTTTAGATATTTGATAGGGAAGTTTTTGGTAGTGTTTGTATTCCATATCAGAGCTTTGTGGGCCAATGGGTAAACTACTGTATTAAAGGAAAATACAAACCTCAAGAAATTCACAATAGGTTTTGTAGCAGACAATTGCTTATTATAACTAAATCTACTACTGAATTTCTACTTCTTAAATCTCAGGTGAAAAAAAAAAAATAGACCCACATGTCTGGCATGGTGGTGGATGTGTGTAATCCCAAGAGTCTGGAGGCTGGGGCAGAAGGATTGTGAGTTCAAAGCCAACCTCAGCAAAAGCAAGGTGTTTAAGCAACTCAGTGAGACCCTGTCTCTAAATAAAATACAAAATATGTCTGGAGATGTGGCTCAGTGGTTGAATGCCCCTGAGTTCAATCCCCACTACTAAAATTAACAGACCTCCCCCCCCAAAAAAAAACACAACTAATTATTGTGTTATGGTTAAGATGGATTCTAAGAAAACTAAGAAGTTTAAACAAAGTTCTATATATGAATGTATGCACAGTTCTCCTTTGGTGTATGTAGGGAATTGTTTTTAGGATCCTCAGTGGATACCAAATCTGTGAATGCTCAAGTTCCTTAAATAAAATGGCTAGTATTTTCATATAACCTGCAAACATCTCCCTATATACTTAAAATCATCTCTGGATTACTCATAATACCTGATACATTGTAAATACATTGTAAATACAAATGTTGTGTAAATTGTTGTTATGCTATCATGTTTACAGAATAATGATAGGAAAAAACACCTGATTTTGTTAAGAATATATATATTTAATATTGTAACTGCATGGTTGATTTAATCTACATATATGGAAACTGCAGAAACAGAGACCTACTACCTTTGTTTTATTCTTTTCATTAACTTATAAGCAAAAATTATAACTAAACAATGACCCTGTAAAAACAATTAAAAATCCACTTGTTCACTTTTGTACAGTTTTGTTTCTTAGAAAAACTTATGGCTTAAAGACATTAAATAAATAGGCAAAAGAAAACTTTTTCTCTATAAATACAGAGCTTACAAATGGAAAGACAGCAGAGTTAACATGGAGAGAGCTTTCCTTTTATGGATTAATATTACAGTCATCTTGAATTGTTAAACCACGACGCAAAGAAAAGACCACCAACTCCAATTTTAAATCAGATTAAAACAAGCTTGTATTTGTGTACACTGGAACTGGCCAGGACTGTCTTGCCCAAAAACCCTGGGCTAGAGAACAGTACCCTAACTCTTTAGGAGCATATTTTTATAAAACAAAAAGTTGCAAAGGGAGGTGTCTTGAGAACTTACAGATAACAGGATTTTGACAAGCATAATACAAAGGCAGATATAGGAGGTCAATGATCTACATGGCTTAAAATTTCAAGGTAGGGAATAAATTTAGATCCCAACACCAGAATTTATGAGGCACTACTGAGGATTCAGAGATGGTTGTTATGAGGTCAGGGGGAGTCAGGATTGATGAGGTGTCGCTAAGGTTTTAGAGAGAGTTGTTATCTAGAAAAGCCAGGCATGGGTGAGTTCAAGTCATGGGCAGGAATTCCAAACAAGTTTAGAAATTGTATTAATTTATAGTAAAACAGAAATCAACTTTTCATGACTTTGTGACGAGATGGCTCCCAATCTTAAGATGGAATTAGGCTGGGATCATCAGAATAATTTCAATTTTTTACAACTTTTAAATTTGTTTATAGTAACACTCTGTAGCAAAACACAAAATTACCACCTTGACCATTTTTGAGTGTACGTTTCGGAGGAATTAAATACACTCACATTGTTGTGAAACCATCCATCTCCAAAACTCTTTTCATCTTATAAAACTGAAACTCAAACAATAACTCTTCATCTTCCCACTTTTCCCCAATGAATTTTCTGTCTCTGAATTTGAGTACTGTAGGGAACCTAACAATTAGGAATGAGACCATATTCTTCATCATGTGACTGGCTAATTTTATTTAGTATAATGTCCTCAAGTTTCCTCTATGTGATGAACCCAGCCTCATTCCATCTTATGATTGGGAGCCATCTTTGGGTCACAAAGTCATGAGAACTTAATTTCTGTTTTACTATAAAGTACTGCAATTTCTAAACTTGCTTGGAAAGCCTCCCTATACCTTGAACTCACCCATTCCTGGCTTTCCCTGACAATCTTCTCTGAAAACTTGGTGGCACCTCATAAATTCTGGTTTTCCTTGACCAGATAACAACTCTCTCTGAAACCTTAGCAGTGCCTCATAAATTCTGGTGTTGGGGCCTAAATTTACTCCCTAACTTGAAATGTTGAACATTTAGATCATTAACCTACTATCTGCATTTGTATTATGCTTGTCAAAATCCTATTATCTGTAAGTTCTCAAGACACCCCCCCTTTTGTAACTTTTTGTGCTATAAAACTATGCTCCTAGAGAGCTGGGGTACTGTTCTCTAACCCAAGGATTTTGGGAGAGACAATCCCAGCCGGAATTACAAGCTTGCTTGAATTTGATTTAAAATTGGAGTCAGTGGTCTTTTCTTTGAGTTGTGGTTTAACACATGTTGTACCACTTGTCAAAAATTCTTTTTTAAGGCTGTTAAAAATTGCATATATACATGTTTTATCACTTAGCCGTAGGTAGATACCTCTTAGCTACTGTAAATACTATTTTTGTGAACAACTATGAACAAATATTTGAGACTCTGCCTTCAATTATTTCAGCTATATGCCCTGAATATAATCAGAGTAAAATTGCAATCCATAGAATGGGAGATATTTAATCATTTCAAATAATAGATAAGAGATTTAGATCCAAAATATGTAGGATATTCTAAAAACTCAACAAGAAAGTACAAATAATGTGATTCAAAAATAGCTAAAGGATTTGAATGAAAATTTCTGTAAAGAAGATACACGTGCAAATATCCATAAGCATTGGAAAAGTTGCTCAGCATTACTCATCTTTAGGGAAATGCAAACCAAAACCATAATAAATATCTTATATTCATATTCATTAGAATGACTCCTATAAAAAAACAAAAAAGACAGGGCAAAATCAGGCTACTCAAAGATGGGATAAATCAGAATCTGGCCACATCTTCTCTGAAACTCTTGTTTCTCACAGGCCTTGCAGAGAGCCCGGAGCATTGTGTTTAAATTACAGAGCTCACTAACTAACTCGCCTTCTTCTAGTTACCCTTGAGAATCCTCCCCATATTCCTGTTTAGGTTCCCTTCTCTTATCACTCTGAATCTCTCCATCTAATTCAGCTGGTTCTGACTCAGGTCTTCCAGCCCATCTCAGGCATGCTCTCTGCAGACAAAGACACTGGGGAAGGCCGCCTGAGGGCATTCTTAAAACTAGCGATCAGATCCACTGCTGACCATGTCATATTCTCTTGATCTGAATCTAAACAAGTTTGTATTAAGTCCACATATTCTCTGAGTTAATCGATCATGCACCTGAATATTTTGGCTGATTTGTATCCAGTGCATAATTCTCTGCCAAGCTTTTCCCAAACATGCACATTAAAGGAACCCTCTTTGGGAAACAATGGGCAAATCTCCAGTAACATGTCTAAAAATTGTGCCAGCTGAACATTGTTTACTGGATTCCCTCTTTGCCTTAGCATAGTTTTAAGTATTGTGAGAAAGAATTCACTCTCTTTTAGAATTAGTTCCCCATGTTTAACACCAAGCTAATAAAAACTCCCCACTCCATCCTCTCTTTAAATTGACTAATTCGAGTGTCTCCTGATTTGAGGGGCAGCCAAGCTCACCTGAAATTTCTCTCTCTGAATACCTAGCCAGTGGTCTAGGTTCAGGCACCAGATCTTGCTCCATCATGCACAGTGAGTGAACAGTGAGTGAGCAGTTAATTGCTTTCCGGCTGTGAGCTGGCTAAGAAAATAAAGGTCAGAAATAATAAAGACAAAAGCATGAAAATAGTTTAAAAGCAGGACTCTGTGGGTTGTTCAACCCAAGGGTCCAACTCCTAACAAAGAAGAAAAACACATGTTCTTTATTATATATGAAAAAATGTTAAAAGGATTTATTGTGAAAGAAAACTTCTTCAAGGCAAACCAAAAGCAAAGTTGAGCAGGAACAGGCTAATTGGAGCTCACCTACTTGCATGATATCATCTCTAGGCTTGGTATAGCTGGCACCACAAGGCTACTGAGCACACCCATATTTCTTCCACCCCAGGAGAGCAGGCATCTGAATTCAAAGCTATCTAATCCATAAATTCCACATCAGGCATGGACTCTACCTCATTAAGAGCAGCTACCTGCAAATGGGCATGTCTTTCAGCATCATTGCACTGAAACATTCCCAGAAGCAGCAGACTCCAAGTCCAGGCTCTAGAGATCAAAACAGTGATTTATTTGCTGCTCCTGTTGCTTGACTACAAAACATTCTAAACAAAATATTCAATGAAGATGGAATGAAAAAAAAGTAAGGGAAAACCAACAAAGAGAGGAACTACATAAAGAAAGTCAATCAAAAGAGAAACTAATACAAATTAAAACCAGAAACAAAACAATTACTGGGGATACAGATCATATCTCAATAATAATCTTGAATATTAATGGCCTGAACTCAATAACCAAAATACATAGAATGACAGATTAGATCAAAAAAACAAGACCAAACAATATGCTGTCTCCAAGAGACTCACCTCATAGGCAAAGAGACTGGAGATGAAGATGAAGGATGGGAAAAAAAAAAAAAACAACAGT